TAAACATGAAAGAAAGCACTCAACTAAACCATTTTTGTATTTCATCGGAACCCCACTCTGGTATCGATGCTGCTCGCTCTTGTTTATTAGTTCTTCTTCGAAAGATTTGTTTCAATTTGTTCTCACTTGATTTCTACGATGCTGCCGCCGATATTCTCTCCTTTATTATTTCCTGTGTACTTAAGCAATCTGCTTCCGATCAAGATTATCAGTCATTCTCACCTAGAATCGTTAATGCAATGTGGTCTTCTTTATTTGGAACCTTAGATCACTTGATTAAATCTCAATCGAGGCTTTGGTACTTGACTAAAAAACCCAAATCTCAGCGTGAAGAATCTAATGTATTCAACATACTGTCCTTGTATAAACAATTAGTTATTTCTACAGGTTCCTATGTTGACGTTCTATTTTCGAAATCAACAGCCATTCGTTCCGATACTGCTACTGCTATCTGTTCATTCAGCAAAGACTGGCTTCCTAAATTATCTAATATGCTAGCATCGACTTCTGGTGACAATCTTACATTTTGGATTCCCATTCTTTCCACGACCGTGTTTTTTTATGCCTTATACAATTTCAGTCCAGGTAACAATTTTAAGATCATCTAAGGATTTTTTTAAATTTTATTAACAAGCTATACTTTTTAACATTTTTTAGATCTTGGTGACTTGCTTTCTGATCTTGCTGAATGTCATAAACGTGTTTGCAGTGACGATGTTTGTCCGTCAAAAAATAGCCCTCCTTGGCCTGCCGTGCTTACAGATGTGCTAATTACTTTATCGACAGACCCCTGCAGCTTATTTCGTACAATAATTCACTCATCCTTTTCTTGTCTAATAAGCCAATACGAAGCCCATGTTCTGTCAGCTGACCAAAATACTTCACCTGTTCTATCTCTTATTATTGACGCGCTCAAAGCCCCTTCATCCAACGAACCTACGCAAAGCGATATTGACTTAAAAGATGCTGAGATGAATGAAAGGGATCCTGAGGAAGCACTTGATTCAGATTTCGGTGTATCAGGTGATGAACCTTATAAATTCCCACTAATATGTTGCGCCGATGAATACTTCTATTATTAAATCATCTATTGTTGAGTTCAGTTTACTACTCAAAATAATAATATGCTTTGAATAATGCAGTAATTCTACACAGAATTTCTGTGGGCAACAGTTCTTTAACTTTTTCACACCACACCTGTCTAATGTCGGCAATCATCCCCTTGACTCCTTTATTAGCTTTCTGAAATCGTTTCATAATCTCCTATGTTGCTTTGCCAAACGCCGAGCTAGCCTCTTCTGTGCCCCGTCAGGGGCTGAATTCATCTGTTCTTAAGCCAACCTGATTCCAGACAATTCGACTTGGAAAATGCTGTGTGGTCGATGCAGAAGAATTCTGAAACTGTCCGGGATGGTAGTCTATTGTAATGAAAGATGCCTTTGAAAATCATTAAAACTTTTATTGATTTTTGGCATAAATGTAATCAAATTGTAAGGATCCGTCTTTACCTACGCCAAAAGGCGATTCCAGACTTTTCGCATGATTGTTGTACTGTGACTTCCTTTTTCACTTTGAAGGAAAATTTCATTCGAAAAAATTCGTGAAATAGTCTCACCGGAATCTGAATGCTTTAGATTGAATACTGCTAAATTGTGTCACTTACTCGACTTATCGTCCTGCCGCTCCAATGAACCCATGTTAACCTTTTATCTTTCATGTGGTAGACATCGTCGTATACATAAATCATATTTTACTCACCAATATACGAAACCAAGATTAAAGTATATTACTAATGCGCAACCGCGAATTATAGTTTATTGCTCTGACAATATCTGTCACATGACAAAAGAAAGCTTATCACGGGTTTATATAAGTTGCAGGACAGTGAGCCAGACTTCTTTGCCCAATATAACAGTCTTGACTCCAAAGTAATCCTTCGCTTTACGGTGACACCTTTTGACTAACTGCATTATAAACGGAAAGTTGAATCATACTAACTCGCTAAGAGATTCGTCTAAACCCAGCTTTTTTCTGGTACTCTTGAATATTTCTCAGCCTGGGATATCCACCAAGCTCAATTATATATTCTTGTGAACAAAATAAATCCTATTATTCACTATCGTCTTAGAATACCTACACTTATTTCTAGATAGCTCGTTACTGGATATAATATACATGCACATGCAACTTCTTTAAAAGTAAGTTTAGACCATTGCAGTTATGAGGATCAAGATGTCGTGGCCTCTGGTATGGTTGCAGTCTCCTTTCGATTCAT